TTTTTAGAAGTGAGTGGGATTCCTGCCAGGCACGGAAGGTGTTTAATATTATCGAATTATTTGTGAGCTTAGATAAACATTTTTTCGTACCTAGAAATGGGACGTCTTTTAATGATATGGGATTCACCTCATATTGTTCTATTGGAACCCATCGAACCTCACTCCTCTCTGCATATAACCAGATCAAAATTGATCGGTATTGGGAGGCCAGATAATAATTCCTAAAGTTTGGTAGGTTGAGTCCTCCCCTTGAATAGGGGGCCTGTAATGAGGAGAGTTTAACTCTTGGGTTTTTCTTTTGCCATATGAAGGAGGTTATAAGTTTATTTAATTCTTTGAAGAAACTTTTAGGAACATTTATAGGGAGACATTGAAATAAATAGGTAAACTTAGGCAAAATGTTCATTTTGACAACATTAATTCTCCCTATAAGGGATAATGGAAAATCCATCCATCTCTGTATATTAAGTTTAGTTTGCTCCAACAGTTTAATATAATTTAGTTTGAATATTTTATCCTCAGATTTACCAATTTGCATGCCCAAATATGTAAATCCATTATTACACCACTGTAGTGGATCTGTAAGAGCTCTAACACGATTATCTTGTATATTTAATGACATAATCTCACTTTTGGTATAATTTAACTTGTATCCTGAAGCTGCACTATATTCTTTAAGACAATTCATTAATGAGGGAATTGACTTGAGAGGGTCCGTTATATACAGTAAGAGGTCATCTGCATATAGAGAAAGTTTATGTTCACTTGTACCGAATTTGATTCCAGATATTGCAACATTAGTACGAATGGCCACTGCTAGTGGCTCGATCGCAATCGCAAAGAGCAAGGGAGAACTTGGACAGCCTTGTCTACAGCCTCTGGTTAAGGAGAAAGTGTTAGAAAGCACATTATTTGTTATAATATTGGCTTTGGGGGCGTTAAAAAGTATCCTAACATAGCGGGTGAACTTTTCTCCGAAGCCCATGGCTTCCATTGTCTGAAATAGAAAGTTTGGTTCAATCCTGTCAAATGCTTTATTAGCGTCCATGGAAATTATTAGCAATGGTTCTTGATTTTTTTGAGCGGCATTCAATATGTGGAGCAGGCGCCGCACATTATCTGCTCCCTGTCTGTCTTTAATGAAGCCTGTTTGATCGGCATTTATTATCTTAGGCATAATGTCCTCCAATCTATGTGCAATTATTTTAGATAATATTTTATAATCTGCGTTTAAAAGGCTAAGTGGTCTATAAGAGTCACATCTCTGTTTGTCCTTGCCCGGCTTTGGCAATAATGTAATTGTTGCATTTTGCAGTGATTCCGGTAGTTTGTTATTTTCTAAGGCTTCTTTAATCATATTTGTAAGTGGTGTCAATAATTTATTAGAAAAGGCCTTATAGTAATCAGCTGAGAATCCATCTGGTCCAGGGGTCTTATTATTTTGTAAACACTTGAGGGCTCGAAGAACCTCCATCTCCGTTATATCTACATCAAGCAGTTCTTTGTCCTCATTATGTAATTTAGGAAGGGTTATTCCATCTATGAATCTTTTTGCA